GAATATATTGATGTGGCTCAGAGAGAACTTGTTTGAAAAGCTTCATAGCTGTATTCATACATTCTCTATCTTAATAGAGATCTAATATGTAATTCCTCCCCTCTCCATCCTCATCAAATTGTTGTTCTTTAGGGTCTTTCAGTCCACATTCTTTTTATACTCTTTCATTCACTTAAGTTTGAACAGATCTTAAAAATAACTTTATAATTAAAGTTAACTTTTTTTTTGATGCAGGAACCTGATCACCTCTTTGAAACCATAGGACAATCCATGCTCAATGCTGTGGACAGAGATGCTGTATCTGGTATGGGAGTGATAGTGCATGTGATGTAAGTAGAAACTGAGTGGGTAAAGATCAATTTTTTTAAAAAATGTGGGGCAGTATTTCTCTGGTTTATTTCCCTGGCTTGCCTGGAAGGACAACAGCTATAATTAGCAGCAAGCAAGATTAAGCCAGTAAAAATCATTTGCACAATTAATTTGTCCTTCCCTCTGGATGGGTATAGTGCTATTGTTATGGGCAACTGCTGGGAAACCAGTTATGGTTTTAGATACCTTTTTTACCTGTTGGTGGATAAAAGTGTCATTTAATTGTTAATCAGTAGAGATAAGATGGTTCTTGACTTGATTGCAATTGGGACTGAAGTTTTGGCTATGTCATGATGGTCGTAAATTGAGGCATCTTGTGATAGGCTTATTTTACTACTGTTTTTATAGCAGTCATTAAGCAGTTGTAGTTTTTGGAGAAATCAGCAAAAAACACCAGAAATCATAGTTATATGATGGCAGGAAGTTGTAGCCAATTGTAAACCAGTAGCCAAAATACCTGAAATGCAGTCATGTGATCGTAAAGAAATGTGACTTGACATTTCACAATGGCTGGAAATGCATTGCATGTATAAAGAACTCTTTCTGAGGCTGTTATAAATCTAAACAGTCATTAAATTACTAGTTTTAAGTAGAGGATTAACTGTAGTACAATTTTCATTTTGATTCTCTCTCTTTTCTCTTTTCACCAGTGAGAAAGACAAAATAACTACCCGGACACTGAAAGCTCGCATGGATTAAGTTTAATTCCAACTAAGAAAACTCTCAAAATAGGAAATAATGTACTGCTCATGGAATAAACTTTTTTTAAAGCATAACTTTTTCATTTTTATGTAGATGCTGTATATATTTTGATTCGTTTAAAATCAAAGATGAAGGGTTGCTCTCAATATAATTTTCAGATGTTATAATATGGTTGTCATACCTAATTGATCTCTAAATTGTAAATGGAAAAAAATGGCATCCAGCTAAATTGGCAGATCTCATTTTGTTAATGTTAAATACTCCTGTTGATGTGAGAAAAGTCCTGCTGAATTCAGTATATCCAATTACATGGACTTGAGTAGGATTGCAGTAGATATTCAGTGTGAGATCAGATTTAAAGTGACCAAAAGTGCTTCAGATCTGACTTGGTCATCTTTTCCATGCCAGCTGGAGACTGCTGAGGAAAACATACCTCTGAGTTCATGGAGTATAGTTAAGGTAGTCATAAAGGAGTTGCTCATGGGTAATGGTGCATCCTAATTTTGGCCCAAATACTGTACATCTATAGACTGAAGAATTAATGTACACCCAAAAAAGATGACAAGGTCAAGGTAATGTTTATTGAGTTCAGCCCAACAAAAGTCATTAATTTCAAAATGTCGTAACTGAATATTTTTATATGCTTGGAGCGTATTTATTTGCTTTCACATTTCAATACATTTTTTAAAACTTCAAAGGCATATATATCTCTTGAGCCTACCATAAGACAGCTCATATTTAGCTTTGAAAACCCCAAATGCTACATTATAAAATAAGCAGAGATAAGTAGTATCCTTAAGCCTCTTACTCATTTCAATGGGACTTTTTTCTAGACTAAGCTATTATTTCAATTTGTGTTAAAGTTCTTTTGAAAATAAGAAATAGCTGTAGCTTTCAAATGGTGGGGCAAGCAGAAGGCCAACATTTAGAGGGAAGTCTTATTTATAGGGTAAGTGAAAACAACTGGATCAATAGATCTTATATATGCATGGAATCCCATTTGCAAATAAACTGAACACAATTTTGTGGATATATTCTTGGCTTATCTGGGAATATGCAGCTAATCCTCAGTCACTGACAATTTATGCAGTGATTATGAGCCCCCCTGATCCCATAGTTTTGATTTGGGTGTTTAACAAGCAGCTTGCAATTATGATAATCACTGCATCCCTACACACAGTTGCCATTTGTAACTTTTGCTGCTAGTGTCTGGCATGCAGGTAGATGGAAAAACTAGTAGAAGGTTGAAATGATCATGTGTGATTGCACCCAAGAATCACAACTGGCATCACTGAGTCAAGTCTTTTAGGTTAAACAAATTCAACATTCTTATAACACTTTACTTTGGGGAGAAGAAATCAGGAGAGCAGTTTTACACAAAAAAATCGTTTTTATTTTGTTCAACCCACCTGAGAGACTTTACACCTTGTTAACATACATGCATTTCAAAACAGTGTCTCATACTTTATAAGCACATTGATTTTAAATTTTTATTTTAGAAAAGGTATGAAAAACCTAAATTATTTTTTATTAGTTGGAGATTCAAATCTGTAATTTCCTGCTTGCCATTATGCACCAGCTTTTATAATACATTTAAATTAAATGCCATATGATTATATATATTAATATGTTGAATATATTCACATGGTATTCAAGCATACAATTAGGAAGATATTGACAATGGCTGGAACACTAATGTCTTGTTTCATTTATCTTTTAAAATAATATATGGTTTCACAATACAGTTTTGAAAGATTGCCTAGGATGGCATTGCAAACACTCATATCAGACTCTCAAAGACTTAGATAATGAAGAAGTGCAAACTTTATTTGACCATGTGGCTTATAGCTGATCATCAATATTTATGTGTGTTTATAAGATTCCATTTTCACTCGAATGCTTTCCAATGATACCCTCCCCAAGCCCTTCCTCCACATATGAACAAAACAGACATGATTAAAGATGATTGTCACCATCTACTGCAGTTTAGCCCTTAAAAATCCCACGTTCAACATTTTTTCCAGTGCAGGAAATTCCATCTTAACTGGATATAATTACCTAACAATATAGACAGGTACATCAATAATTGCAGTGGAAGTTACTATACATCGAACGGATTTGAGATTTTTTTCCTCGAGCATGATAGCCAAAACTCAAACTATTATATATTCCCCCTGAAGATATTTTTAGATGACGAACAAAAACTTCTTTTAGAATATGAGCTCCATCTCACTCTAGAATAGGCATGTTAATTAACAATGCTGGGAAGTATGCTACAATATATCTGGAGGGTTGAGGAAGTACATTCCACAAAACAGATGAAGAAAGCGAAGACTACCATCAACAACACATTCTTTGGCTAGATATGATCCAACTGAGAATGAATATGCGTAAGTCTACCTAGGAACAAGACTAACACATATGATACCCCCAAATCCTCCAAATAGGTCGTTAACATTCTTAAATCATAAATCTGCTCCAAATACATACGCATTCCCTTGCATAAATTGAAATATGTTTGATTTCCAAACAAAGCACTTGACCTAGAAGACTAGCTCTATGCACCAATGGTCATACATTACTGCTAAATCTCTAATTAGTTTAGGATTTATCTGCTTCTGATCCAACATGGGCTCTTCTGCAACAAAACAAAGGATGGGAACAATTTTCAGACTAAACCGATGGATAAATTGTGCCAATATGCATGCCCTTTATAGGAATGAAACTTGGGGCAAAAAAGCAAATGAATGAGTTTTAAATAGACTCAAGGACATCCTGAATTGGAAATAAAATTGCATTGCCAGTGCTATCCTTAGAGTTAGAGGAGAAAACATCCACAAACTATTTTTTTAGAGTGATGTATTTAAGGATATCAGGCAGGGAAGAATCACTGATATAGAAGATGGAAACACGTGATTAGATCTAGATTTAATCACAGCTCTTCTCTGTCAAAACTAACAATACTCTGAAGAGACTGAATGTCTTCCTTTTTCCCCACTTCTCTTGTAGCATTACAAACAATGCTTTGATCAGAATGTATTCTGTACATCATTCTCAATGCATTGCCAGATCAATTTAATGTTTATAAGAAGGGGGAAATTCTAATACTGTTGTGGAAACAAAAGGTTTCCATGTGATGTCATTTTCTGATTAAAAATTTGAGTGTGAAAGAAACAGGAATGTTAAAAGTTGCAGAAGTTCCCAGTGAGCAAATTTCAAGTGTCCATACATGGATGTAAGTAACAACAGTTTCCCCAAAAGATATCTTCCAGATGTATAATGTCTATAAATCCCATGTTTAGTGGTGTAAACGAAAGCACCTCAAGAATATTTGGTTTGGGGAAACCTGAAGTAAAAAAGCTGATGACATCGCTCTTGACCTCCCCACCAGGCTTTTTCTGTACCTTTTGAATATTTCAAATTATGAAACAATTTTTCTATTAAGCAAATAATTGGGGGGGAGGGGAATTCCACAACTGGTTAATAGATACATGCGTCATATGGGTCTGAGCACCACCCAAGAGCAGAGCTCAGAGGCTGAATATTAAGTCAATAGAATAGAGAAAAGATAAAATGGGACTAGAGAAAAAAGCCAGCTATAGTTCTGCTGATATAGGATATAGGACTTTAAGATGGATTCAGATAAAAATCTTAAAAGTTCCTGATAAAGGGCAGAAAAACAAAAGGAACAAATATGGGAATGGCAGATGGCAAAGAGGATATATTATCAGCAAAGGCAAAATCAGAGGTGGTATTCAGCAGGTTCTGACCAGTTCTGGAGAACCAGTAGCGGAAATTTTGAGTAGTTTGCAGAACCGGCAAATATCACCTCTGACTGGCCCAGCACCCATCTATTCTCTGCCTCCTAAGTCCCAACCATGTTTGGGTCATGTTGCCCTGCACAGGAAAATAGAACTGGAAATCAGGTTAGTGGGGTGGGGAGGGAATGGGATTTTGCAGTAACCTTCCCCTGCCATGTCCACCAAGCCACGCCCACCAAGTCATACCCACAGAACCGGTAGTAAAAAAAATTGAATCACAACACTGGGTAAAATGTAAGGACTAACAACTCAATGGCATGTATGACAGAATACAAAAATCAAACAGGGAACTAAAGCTGAGTTTAGGGATATATTTCGAATCCTCTTGAGAGATATCTGAGTAAAACTCAAATTCAACATCTAAGCACAATGTATATACATCAAAGAGGACTTGAAACAATGAACATGGAATAGAATCAATAGATGGTTGGGTGGCTTTTGTCAGGATATGAAGGCAGTTGAAGATAACAGATAAAAGAACAGGATATTAAAGGTGTTAAAAAGAAAAACTTCTGGAAATGGATTGCGGGACTGGAGAGAGCACAGATACAGACAAGAGAAGCAAAGGCCAGAGAAGACTGAGAAGAGAAAGTAAGAGGAGGCGAAGACTGAGAGTTTGTTCTTTCTGCCTGAGTGCCCATTATTGGTTGTTTCAAGTGTCTTCTATAAATGAATCAACCAGGTAACACATCTTTTCATAGTTTTTTAAAACTGTACACTGACTAACTCCTAAATAGATTAAAGCTGGCAAATATTTGTAAAAATTGTAAAAAACAGCATTTTAAGTTAATGTTTACCAATTTTAATTAAAATTTAAACAAAAGGAGCTAAAAATGAAATTCCCAGTTAAGGCAGGGGTAGACCAAATTTTCTATTTTACATTGAACTTTTAAGTGCACCATTTGAGTTTCCAAAAAATTTACAACCTATCAACATATCCATATCCATGCCTGCCTTTTGAAATAAGTTCCTAAATTCACATTAATTTTATGATAAAACCAATTGGGAAAGATAAAACATTGTCGCTTCTAATAAAAGAAATCTGCTTTGAAATGTAGGTGAAAAAATCGTCCAAATTTGTAATTTGTAATTTATGCCTTAAAAAATCTTATGGTATGTACAGCATATTCCATGATTTTTAAGCCCTGTAAATATGACTTTGGAATCATGGAATGCATTATGCATTTTGTTGTTGTTATTTATAAATGTGAAAAATCTCATCCAAAAGAATACACATACTTGAGGGCAACAAAGAAAGAAAAAAAATATTTACCTTACTTCCAAAAAAGACAAAATCCACAAAGCAGAAGGCACAGGACATTAACACCCCAACAATCACATACAAAAAAAAGCATGTGTAAGAAACACATTCAGAAAGAGTAAGCAAAGGGTCTTGATTGCAAGTTGGTGGTTCATAATTTGCCATATCCCTCTTTTTAAAAAAATCTATAAACAATCCATCCTCATAAGAATATTGAAAAAATGGAATAAATGAAGTCAAAATCTTCAGTTTTGACAAGTACAGTTGTGAAATCCAACATCAGTCTGTAGATTACAAGAAAAAGTTGTAATTCAAATGATGCAAGAAGAGTTTGGATTCTTTTAAAAAAAACTGAACTAGTGCAACTTATTCCAAAAATCTGGATTAGCAGGACAATCTGTCCTAGTGGTTAAAAGCAGTCACCTTCAACAATTTATTACATTTTCCCTATATTCTGAAACTAGATTCTTCCCAAATGGAATGATCAAAAGCTAATATTTCTAACACAATGGTTCACAGCATAAGATGTTACAAAGAAGTGGTACCTTTTTTTAAACAGGAAAATATCATTTTACACCATTTACAACCAGATCAAGGTATAAAAGTTTGAACCATGAATAATTTAGCTCTGGTAGATCATTATTAAAGATAACTTAATCCAAGTTGTAATCCAACTCAGTACAAATGTGTCTGCAGCTTATCAAAGTATTATTTCCATGAAGTTATCTCACCTCTTCATGCTCTCCACCAAGAAATTGTATCGTATTTCATTAGAAATGTGGATTCTTCTGGAACTGTTTTTTTTCCCCCTTGATTGCATAAAAATTTAAGCAGTCATCTAATTTCCTCATATTCTCACTTTTTTTGAAATAACAATGCAAAATGAAAGTGGGATATCAAAAGACTGGAAGTAAAAAGTCTTTGTTCAACTAACTTAAAATGGCTTTCCTTAATTGTTATAGCAGTTCTTGTCCTTGAAATGACAGGGCATCACTTGTCCAATCCTTAGAGAAAGCAACAAAGAGAATTTGCTCTGAGAGAACAGCCATAGTTCAATAGAAGGAAACCATCATTTATATCTTCTGTTATGTGTTCACATTAACATCTGACCACTTGGAAACTGATGCTTTTCAAAGAAAAGTGCAAATCTTAACACTACTTTATTCCCCAGGTTTATGTTTGGATATTTATATTAGCAACCAAAATAGAAGAGAGTAATAGTCTCATTTTCCACCAGGTTTGAGGCCCACATCTAGAGGTTAGTTTTCTGCTAGGTCAGACTGTCCTCACACACTCACAGAATACCATATCCAGCAGACTGGGCTGCATTCCTGTAGAACTGAAAACACTACTCCCCCCCACCCTCTACTATTCTTCTCCCTCCTTTTCTGTCAACAACAGGAAGATAACTATGTCAGGATATTGGACATAAATTCATTGAAGCGTTTTGAATACTGTTCGGGATTGACAGTGGAAATTTCTGCTCCAGCCTAGAAAACAAAATAAAAATCTTAAACACATATAATTTCATTCAAGCATAAAAATCATTTCTTTAAAGAGGTTATTCCAAGTTTTTAAGAAGTAGCAAATGGCTCTATACCGATTCATCCTCTTCAGAATCTGAAGGAGAAAAGGGTTTACAATCTACCTATTACTCATGGATATTTATGAAGAAAAATTGCTCAGCTGATGATGTTTCAAACATCTGACTATCCTAGCCTTTTTGGCAGTAGAGAATGCTCTCCAGGCCCAGTGCTGTTTGAATGCCCCAAGGAGCAAAGCTCTCTTCCTGTGTTTCCGCTCAGTTTAGAGAGCCAAATAATCACCTGCAGCAGAAAGGCAGAACATCTGAACAGACACTTATATAGCCACCAGAAAAATGTGGTTACAACCTCTCTAATTATGGTTACAGCCTCTTTCTCATGCCTTTTGCGCAGGCAGGGGAACAACAAAGGCATTTGCCTGAAAGATGATGCAGCCTATTTTAGGATTATGGAAAGAACAGGACTGCCTCTCTAACAATGACTTCATCACCTGCACAAAAGTATATTGTTACAGTGTTCAGTTAGAATGAAGGGCTGGGGCTAGAAGACAGCCCAGGAAAAAACCTGGGATTAGCATTTTATTGGAAATAAATTATCAGGAAACCAAGAGTCCTCTTAAAATTATTGCTAAGGCAGGTGAAAAGAAAAAAATAAAAACTGAACAGAAAGGCATTGGATCATGCCCATTTGAACAGATAAATTGGGACTGGAAGAAGGAGGCATTGTTATCCAAACAGCTCTAGCTTCTGAATGTCCAAAGGTTCTTCTGTAGTAATTTTATAGTGGTCCTCATTTAGCATTCTGTTAACATATGGCTTTGGATGATAAGGTCCTGGTAGGCAGAGCTGAACTGGAGAAAGTTATTTAGGAAGGAAGCCATGTACACTTGCAAGAGATTCATTGGCAAGGGGATTCCTTTGGAGGGGGGAGTAAAACACTCAGGAATAGACAGAAATAGAGGAAAGAACAATAGAATAATCAATAATAGCAACAGAAAAATCATATCAAAATGTATCTTTGGTGTGGTCATATTAAAATATTCCTGATTAATTTACTTAGAAGCTGTAGAATGGTCAGAAAACAACAACCAAAATAAATAGAAGATGAAAGGCTATGATGTACCCATGTTTCCCTGACCACAAAATAATTATGTCCACTAGGGTTTATTTTTTTTGAGGGTGACTTTTCTTCCCATGTAGGGGGGGCTCACTTCTGCCCGCTCATGCGGGGCAGGGAGCTGCGCAGTACGCCAGTGCAACCACTGCGAGGCCGTGAGGGTGGAGCTGCCCCACACACCCCATACTGGCTTACCTCAGGACCCCTGCAAGCAGTCTACCCACAACCTGACATCTATCTCACCTCACAGCCATGGCACCAATACACCACTCGGCTTCCTTCTTCGTTGTGGCCACGAGCAAGCAGAAGAAGAGGCTGGCGGCTACGTGAGCTTCTGCTGCACATGGCTTCCGGTGCTACTGCTGTGAGGCAGATGTCAGGGCATGGATGGCCTGGCTACAGGGGCCCTGAGGTAAACCAGTGTGGGATGCATGGGGCAGCTCCATCCCCTGCCCCATCTTGTGGCTGCGGCACCGTGAGCAACCAGACAGAATGGGCAGGCAACTGGCTGCACAAGCTCTTAAGTAGGGCTTATTTGGGGAAGGGGGAGGGCTTATATTAGGCGAACTCATAAAAAGATGCTAGACTTCTTTTCGGGATAGTTCTTCTTTTCAGGGAAACAGAGTATCTTAAATCAGAACGGTGATCCAATTACACTTGAATTACTGAAACCTAATACCTGTTTTAGAGTTAGACAAGCTAAGTTTCTCTGACTGCATGTGGCTTTTATTTAACAAAATTTTTGTTCCAGGTTTTCATTATCTTTTGCAAATTCCAAAGCCCTTTGCAACCAGAATTCCTGAAAAACTGCTATCATTTTTTGAGTGATGTACACATAAAAAATACAGTACAAATGAATATAATATACTGAAAGATTTTTTTTTAAAAAAACCCATGGAAGTCTTAGCCCCATCAATTTATATATGAAATTCTTGCATCCTTGCTTCCCTTTCACAATTTTGGACCACTGCCCAGCCAGCTATGGCTTCAGTTGTTCTGAAATATGTTATAAAATGTTTGGCTAAGCAAAATGAGATAAATGCAAACAAACGGTTCTTTCTTACCCCATGTTTCACCGTTTTGGCAGCATGTGCTGCTTTTTTCTTTGTGTCATAAGGTGTAAGGATATCTATAATTGCCATGAAATATACTTCCTTCTTAGGGGCACCTGGTTAAAACAAAACAGAGAGAAATTTATCAGTACTGGAGGACGTAGAACATTTTTTAGGATTTGCTATTCTTATTGAACTGCAAGCACAACTAAAGAACTCCAGAATTTTTTACGTTAAATAAATTGTCCAAGATGTAGATTTTTACTCAGCAGATGATTCAGGCAGCACTTAAAACAGTGAAAATATTGAGGAAGGTGAAATGGATGATTTTATTATACGCAGAGCAGTTTTCTCTTCAACTATGTTAGACTTGAGAGTAAGTATTATTTTTGAAAAACTTTGGAATATAGGTAATCTTCAATATACATCAGTCATTTAATGCCCATTTTATGTTACAGCTCTGAAAGGGTATTTCATGGCTCTTAAAGCATTTCCAGCCATCATAAAAACATTGTGTCATTCCCCCCGCCCCCCAGTCACAGTCACATAATTGTGTGGGTGTTGATCAGCTTGTCCACATTTACAACCAGTTGTTGAGTGTCCCATGATCATGCAATTGCCATTTATAAACTTCTCTGCTGGCTTTTTTGGAAAGTTAATGGGGAAGTTGGCATGGAAGGTTAGAAGTTGCTACCACTTGCTGAAGGATTTACATTTCCTTCTATACAAGGTACAAATTGTTCTGGAAATCCTTAATCAGGTTGCAGAACTGAAGATCAGATTTTTGCCATCCCTGCATCATATTTCCAGTGCAACACCCAAGTTTCCTTCCACTCATGGAAGTTGTGCATTGGGCAGGAGAGACAAAGGAGAATATTTACAATCCCCATCTTGTCTTTCCTCCCCAACATGAAATCCCTTCTATATATGGAGGGGAGAAGTATTTGTGCAAAAAGAGGATCTTTCTGATTTCTACAGCCCAGTGCATGGGTTCCCTTTTACACACAGAGTAGTGCTAGCTGTCCTCTTTCAGCAGGTAACTCTTTTGCTCTGTCAATTTAACAAATACAACTGGGAGAGCTGATATTATAGTTGGTGAGGGAAGCAGTCACGTGGGCATTTTGTTTAACAACCATTACATTCAACAAGATTCCAGTCCCAATTGTATTCATAAATTGGTTATACATTAGCTAAATATAAGTAGTCCTCAACTTATGAGCACAATTAGACTGGAATCTCAGTTAAGAAAAAGGGTCATTAAACAAGACATCATGTGACTGCTTTGTTCAATGACTGCAATCTCAGCACTCCCAGTTGTGGTTGTTAAGCGAGGTTATTAGTTGTTAAACAGAGGGAGTCAAAGATAAGGATTGTGGGGGGGAACTTAGGAGGTTTTGGGAGTCTTTATAAGCTACAGGACACACCAAATTGCACATTTTCGGGATGCTTCTAAAGCACCATGAGGGACAGCTCTATTCTCACAATCCTTTGGAAGCTTCCTCCTCCAAATTGGGCAACTTGGAGAAGGAGAATTCCAAAGAATGGAGCCTATCTGGAGAATGGTGCAAGGTATCCTTAAGAGGAAAAGGCACCTTGAATGGACTGAATGATGTGCTTGTCAGCAGTTAAAGAAAACTGTGAAGATAAGTGGGTTGCTTTGCATGTGCTGATGGGCTTGGTAGCAGCTAAGTCCTTCTGGGCTATGGCAGTTTTTTGCATGCTATTGGGCCCTGTAGCAAACCAAGGCTTCCCGGGCTGCGGAAAGTTTCCAAGTGCTAATGGACTACAGAGGTTGGGGTAGATAGGTGGATGCAGGGAAAGAGCTGTATCCACTTCTGGAGTCATATCTGCAAATAGGCTGCTAAATTTTGTTCACATAACCACAGGGAGACTACAATGGACATAACTTTGGGCACAAGTTGTAAGTCATTTAATTCAGGACTGTTATAATTTCAAATGGTTACTAAATTAATGGTTGTAAATCAAGACTACCTGTAGGCATAATGAATACGGGACAAAGCTCCTAAAGGACATGAAGATCTTCTGGACATTTGTGTATTAGAGAAGACATCCAAGTCTATCACCTGGCTCTCAAATAATGGCTGCACACTATAAGGAAAATTAAACTGGAAGTCATGTCTGCAATTAAGGCAATTTTATTGGATGCACTATTGTAGTTCAGGAAGTCAAACAGTCTTAGGATTTCCAAAAAAGTGGAGAAAATGATGTTGATTCAAATAACCACCATGTATGCTTACAATCAGACTGGCTTTCACAATTTTACATTTGTCTTCCATTCTCACTACCAGCATCCAGATCTCAGTACTTACTTTCATGGCTTTTCATAGCATAGACATCCACAGATGGATCAAACTCTCCAGGCCCAAAGAAACGTGGGAAGTTGAGAAGGTTACCAGGACTGTCAGGTGGAGTCCCATAGGAACCAATTGGATTCCCACCTATGCCATCATTCTCACATTCTTCATCTTCTGTCCGGTTCTCAACTTCCATCTCTTCTTGCTCAGCTCGATCAACATCATGAATTCCAACCAGCAAGCTGTAATCCATGATTTTCAGTTGTGCAAGAAACTGGAAGCCAACAGAAGAAAAAATTCCTTTTCATTTTCAATGTCTCTCTATCACCTCTGGGATTTGAGTTAAACCATCTTTCATTAAACTGGCACCAGCTCCAAGTATTGAATCCCATAAATCTCAAAGCATTTTTACATGATTGCTTGGAATTCTTGGGATTACAGAGTTATAGAAGAAAATGTTTTTAATTAATTATTGTATGTTGCAACTTACATCAGATTGTTGTAAGATTTAAAATGGGATGAGGTGGAAGGGAAGACTAGTTAGTTATCCATGTGCAGGATACGTATCAGGCTGCAAGTATAGAATCAATTAACAATTATAATATATTAAAAAAAACCCACTGTATTTGCAGAAATATTGCCTAAAACTTTTCGTTTTCTATAAGTTCAGAAATTTCTCATTCAATGATCCTGAACTTTTACAAAATGGTCATTTTAAGACAGGGGTTCATACTTGACAGCTTTAAAACTTGTGGACTTCGACTCCCAGAATTCTTCCTCCAGTCATGTTAGATCAGGAATTCTGGGAGTTGAAGTCCACAAGTCTTAAACTTGTCAAGTTTGAAGACCCTTGTTTTAAGATCTGTTCCACTTTGAGGCCTGCATTCTGTTTAAATTCAAAATGATTGAACTATCCAATAAAGCTTGTTAGTCACAGAAGATGCTACCAGATTCCTTCTGCAATGTGTAGGAGTAACTCTCACAAGTGAATGCAAGAGAAATAAAACTCTTCTGTCTGCTTTTTAAAACAAATTTTCAAATTAATCTAAATTCACTTTAGAGTCTGAGACAGAGTCTAACAGACATCTCTACCTTATCTAGTTTTTAAAGAGTTTGAAAACTATTGTAACAGTGGAGATTCTGTCAATCACACTTCTTAGTTATGCCCTGATTTCCAAAAATTAACAACACTGTATTTTTCGGTCTATAAGAGGCACCCCCCCAAAAAAAGTGGGTGGAATTGTCTGTGCATCTTATACAGCGAATGTTGCCAAAATCATTGGCCCACCCGACGGTCTCTGCCTTCTAGCAATTTGCCTCCTTGCAGCAAACAGCAAACAGCCTGATCAGCTTCAGCACAGCTGATTTAACACAAACAGCTGATTGTCAGTTGGATTGGCCTCCTGCCGATCAGCTGTTTCAGGCTGCAGGGATTGCCATTGCCTATTGCCATCTATGCATGCCCCATTTTCGGCCTCCACATGCCCCATTTTCGGCCTGTTCTGATCCCCACCGCTGGAATGGGCCAAAAATGAGGCACACGGAGGCTAAAATGGGGCACGCAGAGGCTGAAAATGGGATGCGGAAGTCAAAAATGGGGCATATGGAGGCGGCAATAGGCAATGGTGATCTCTGCAGCCTGAAACAGCTGATTGTTGGGAGGCAGATCCAACCAACAATCAGCTGCTTGTGCTAAATCAGGCTGTGCTGAAGCTGATCAGGTTGTTTTCTGTTTTCTGTAAGGAGGCAAATTGCTGGGAGGTGGAGGCGGAGGCAGATTTTTTTTCTAGGTGTGTCTTATACTTTGGAGCGTCTTATAGTCCGAAAAATATGGTAGCTCTCCTACCTCAACATCTCGCTTCAATTTCTCCAGGAAATTTTTTTTACATTCCTCTCCAACATGGAGCTTTTGGCCTTCATTTAGAAAATCGTTGTCTTTAAAGGTTGGTAGATCCTTCGCCTAGAGAGAAGGATTGAACTCAAGTAAGTGCAAAACATTACTTCCATATTACACAATCCAAAGCAGCTCAATATCCTGTTTGCTGAAGTTAGGGCAAAGGGAATTACAATCAACTTTGAGTAAATAATTAAAAAAAAATGAAAATATTGATGAAAAACTGCTAAGTTAAAAGTAAAAGTTTGTGAAAGATTGTGGGAAGTAAGTAAAGATTGCAGGTTAGATCAGAAAAGCCAACACAGCCCAGCTGAAGAAAGCATTTCAAAAAGCGACTCCTCCTAGGAATTGGTCTTTCCATTTTGTTGTTAACCCTCACACAGCTGGCAAACCAAGGAACCAAAGCCATATAGGTTTCAGGAAGATGTATATGTGATAAAACCAGAAATGTTTATTCCTGCCACACCTATACTAAATTAACTGTCTTTAAAAAAAGCCCCATCTTCCTAACCTATGTTCTTCTGATCTATTTGATGAGGCTACCTAGTAAGGGCATCTTTGGGATTCCTGGATGATGTCATCCATTTTAAACACAGACACATCAAATTTCCCATAATTAGGAAAGTTGTAAAACTCTTAGTTCAGGACAAAGATGAATCAATCTTGTCCTTGTTTTTTTTTTTGTTGTTGGACAAATTCCTGCAGTTTTATCAGCAAGAGTTTTTAGAAGTGGTTTGCCATTATTTCTTTCCTAGGGCTGAGAGAGAATGATTGCCTCGAGGTCATTCAGCTGGCTTTGTGCTTAAGACAGAACTGGAATTTGTGGTCTCATGTTTTCTAGCTGGTGCCTCAACCGCTACACCAAACTGGCTCTCTTTCACCAATTAACTGATTAGGAAACATATTTATTGCTCTTGAAAGTATTTGTCCTCTACTTATAGTAAACTTAAGATTCAGATTTCAGTGAGATATATCATCTTTATCTTATCCTATTGGCTGTCTAGATTGCTTATGTCCAACAGTGTAATAATATTTCAGTATTTTTATTCTGTAACATTTGGAAGCCTTATTGCTCCATCTCAGAATGAGGTTGCAAAAAAGCAATATAATAACAACATTTCTTTATTAAAAAAGATTGGGTTCATGAACCAGAGAACTAAGTCAGTTAAGGCAGGGGTCCCCAACCACCGGTCCCTGGAACATTTTCTACCGGGCCGCCAGTTTGCTGGGCGCCGCCATCTTGTTTCGATGAGAAAGTTTTTTTTAAAGACTCCAATTTTTCTTCTTTCCTTTCTCCCAAAATGAAAATACGAAAAATGAACTGCATAAAGTTCTGCTACAGCAGGCATTCGTTCCCCCAAAAAGGAACTCACAAATTACAGAACAAAAAAAAAAAAGAGAGGTAGGACCAGGATATAGGCAGACACAAAACTTTATATGCAAAAAATTGGCAATCTGGGCGATTAGCCCTGAGGAAAGTGTGTGTGTGGGGGGGGGGGGGGGGGGGAAGGGTAACAGCCGGCATGCATTTTTCAAAAGAACCACACAGGCTGCTGAGCCCTGGACAGAAAGAGTGAGCCGAGTAACATTTTGTTGCTTCCTGATTGACTAATTTCAAGCTCCCGGCTGCACTAATCGGGCAGCGCCGTGTCACTCATGTGACTTCCAGGCGCGAGATTAAATTCAAATGGCCGTGTAGGAGGGTATCAGGGAGTCGGTTGCGCCGCTTCTGCGGGAGAATCTTTTCGTTGCAAGGCAAGCAGGTGGGTAAGTGCCGTGAGGTGGGGGGGTCAGATGGGGTGCCGCTGTTTAAAAAAAACTGAGTGAAAACAAATTTAATTTGGATTTAGTGGAAGGACAAGTTTCCCACTTTGTTGGATGGATTCTAGTTGAAGAAATGAAGCCGAAAAAGGAGGCTCTTGCTTTGGGATCGCTCGGCTCACCTTGTCATGTGTGCTGATGCCGGTACCGGGCCCCGGATCATTTTGTGATGCCGGTACCGGGCCGTGGCACAAAAAAGGTTGGGGACAACTGAGTTAAGGGTCTATATGCTATGGGATCACACTAATATTAACTGGGGCAAGAGAGGATAGGGCAAAAGATGGATGCATCTAGAAATCAATCTAATTCAAATAATTCATTAAAGGATACGGTGGCAATAGTACCATAATTAGAAGCTCAGAACAACAAGGGAATGAATAATTACTGTTTTAGCTCTTTATATTATAATCATGGATGCTTATAGGTGGCACATTCAGCCAACATATGTCTTCAGTGGTCCCTCAAGGTGCACCCCAGAACTCTCCTCCAATTCTCCCATTTCCTACTTTACTTCTTTCAACAATGCTTTCTGCTAATACCTCAATTTCCACTTTCTGTCTTAACTAGAGAATCTAGAGTGATTTGTAGAGCTATTTGACATCTGTATGGAGTGAAATGCAAATAATTTTGAGTGCCCATATAATTTATAATATAGGTAGTCCTTGACTTATGACCAACTGCACCAGGAATCTTGAGCAAAGTGGCTATTAAGCAAGGTGTCACTTCATTGCTTCACTCAATGACCACAGCTTCGGTACTCCTGGTTGTGGTCATTAAGCTATCTCACAGTTTGTTAAGTGGACAGAGTCCCAGGTAACATTGCCTCAGGGGCATGAGAGAGGTCCTAGGAGATCCAGTGCAGGCCACATGTGAGTGTCTCTTTGCTCTGAAATTGTAAAGCCTCTCTGCTGAAATCAAAGCTCCTGACGAGAGAGATACTTGTATCTAAAGGAAGTGGTATAATGTACCACGATGGTTAGGATGGCATCCTTTCCATGGCCATCTTTAATTCAAACCACCATTAAGCTGAGGACTATCTGAAAGGGAGAAGGTCTAAAGGGAAAAATGCTGTTTAAACTGCCTTTGTCTGTGTCTTTATTTTTCTCAATCCCAATAGGAGGAATCTCTGAATAAATGTATTTTAGGAGTCTCAGAGGCAGATCCACTGGCAGTTTTTTTGTTTATAACTGGAGAGACACTATCAATGATTGCATGTTTAAATGTATGCCTGGGCCAACATGCTTGTCTATAGGGGAGAAATGGAAGGAGCGAGGATATCCACTTTTGACTGTTGTCTGAGTTTCTAATAATCTTTTATATGCATTTAGTCAACTCTCAAACATTAAAATCCTACTGTGATTTAGAACAAATATTCTACTCCCAAACAAGAGCTTAAGTCAGAATACAAACATGTTTATTTTGATAAGTACTAATTGCTTAAGAACTAGCTGCCACTTATTTTAATATTGTATCAAGCTACTAACGCTATGCATCATTGCCAGATTCTATTAAACTTTTATATTTTTATATATGATTTTGATTATCAAATACAGCCTTTAAAAAAAAAGCAGCTTCTTTTTAAAACCAAAAAATAATCTTAATTGAAAAAAGAATGCAAAGTCATCATGTGAAGGATAAGAACACAATCACTGTATGCTCTTTCCTTTATCTACCCCATACGTGATGCAAAGTAGCTATCCAAATGCAGTTTAATACATCTTCTCAGCCCCTCCATATGTCACTTTCCTCTCTTATATAGCTCAGGTCAATCCTTCCTAAATTGTCATTTTCCAAAACTTTGCGGGACTACAATTCCCATCATGCTCTCTGGGAGCTTATTGGGTTAAGTTGGGTACTTGTATAACATAGGATCTTTTCTCTAATCCTGTTAGAAGTACTTATACAGAAGTAACATTTTTTAGGTTTATTCAAAACACAAAGTTTTTTATTGTAAATCTTTCTCTAACATTGACTTTTACCTTTTCTTTGTCACTGGCTTCTCTTGCTACTGTTGAGCCCTGAAGGAAAAGTAAAAAATAGAAAGTGATTATTTATTTAAAGAAAAAAGCTTTTTAAAAAACTGATTATGCATCTATAAATTAAGGGCTACTCTAAGCCAGTGCATTTTTCTTTGTCTTATTTACTCTATTTTCGTTTTATAAACATTTAAACCATAAAAAGGTTTTATCTGGGAAAATATTACACTTCCCAGAATTCAGTGGTCGGATTCAAAAATTTTTTACTACCGTTTCTGTGGGCGTGGCTTGATGGGTGCGCTTTGCATGCGCGCATCGAGTTTGCTACTGACTTTCTCCCGCAATCCTGCACTCTCCCTGCATCTTCAACAGCTGACGCGTGGCAATCTGCTGTGCCATGTGAAGCAGCTGAGCTTCAAAACCAGGAAATAAAGGTTAGAATAGAGCCAGGGCAGGTGGGCCCAGCAGCTAATCGTTGGAGTGAACCTGTTTGGCTGAACCGGTAGAATACCACCACTGCCAGAATTGAATACATTGTCAGCTTTACTATGTTAGTTTTAATCGATGCCGCACAGAAAAAGAAGGACCTATAAACTCTGAGATTCTTTCCAACTTTATGATTCTATGATTTAGAAATGACTTATTGAAGGTCAACAGTCTTCTTCTCACTTTCCTATTGTGATCCTCATGGATCACATGGATCCATGAGGATCACATTATCCTCTCCCGCAAGAAGGCATCTATTCTCCATGGCTGAAGGCAGAATGTTTATACAGACAGACTAGCAGGATTCAAAGAACATGCTAAATCTGATCCAGAAAAATAAAATAGAACTGCTATGTTTGTCCAATGAATGAACACTTATGGTTTTATGGATAGCCAGGTTTATACAATATACTAAAACAACACCTGAATTTTTTCATCTCAGTGAACCATAAACTAATTGCCTTTGATCTAGGAAATCAAGTACATCAATGCATTACTGTATGACATTTTTTTGGATGTGTAATGCAGGAATATATGCAAAAATACTTCAATTCTGATTGTCAGCTACTCTTTGCATTATATGCAAACAGAAGTTGTCAAATAGTTATAAGATTACCTGAAACCAAAATATTTCCAAAGAATTAGATTAAAAATTTCTGAGTCAGTTATTCAAAACAAAATATTTACTTCACTCTCCAATGTCATTTAGAAATCCCATTTTGAGGAGGGAGATAGGGAATACGAAATTTGATTTCTCTACTAGCAAATTATAGGAATTAAAAACACTACGATACAACTAGTGAATACCACCACATCTCATTTCACACAGAAAATCTGGAAATAATATTTCTCCTTTTAACTCCGTGGTGAGAGCTTTCCTCTTCCAGCATAAAACTCATACTGAGCGCAAAATTAACACCAGGTCTAATGCTTCAGTGTAGCCATGGTCTACTGGTCTCAACCCTCAGAGAAAACCAACATTCTTATATAAGGAAACCAAACCTTGTGAATATAAAAGTAGTCTTTGACTTATGATTACTATTGAGCTCAAAATATTCATTACTAAGCAAGACAGAAATGCGTTTTGCCTCATTTTATGACCTTTCTTGCCAAGGTTATTAAGAGGTTACCATGGTTGTTAATTTAGTAACAGGGTTATTAAGTGATTCCAGCTTCCCCATTGACTTTGCTTGTCAGAAGGTCACAAAAGATGACACTGCAACTATCATAGTTGCCAAAGATCCAAATGTGATAATGGAGATGTTGCAATGGTCCTAAGTGTGAAAAATGGTCATTCATTTTTTTCAGTGCAGTTGTAATTTCAAATGGTCACTAAACAAATGGTTGTAAGTCGAGGATTACCTATGGTAGCCATGTGAATTATACAAAAATAATATTTTTCAAACAATATCTTCCTTTTTTTCACAACTCCAAGACTCAAGTACCTGCTTATGATTCTAAACTTACAAGTGTGCACCATTTTTTGAGGCCAGAATGTGACACTGTTGAATTCCAGAGATGCTCACCTTGAGATCATATTTCCGATGCACTGTCAACCGGTGACTAAATACATTCCTTGTAACTACCATGTAGGTTTCCACACCATCTACGGTAAGCCTATACATGCCAAGAAACTGGGGTAAAAGTGTATTCCCATGACATTCCACAATGAACTGAAGGGAATAAGGGAAAAAAGGAAAGAATATATAATCAATTAGTGTAGTCTAAAAGCTGCCAAGTTTTTGAGGTTGCCACAGAAGGAAGATTTAGAAGGGCATCTGAGGCACTTTTTAAAGTATCAATATTTCATAATATAACCCGATATGCTAAATTATTTATACTAAATAAAACCAAATGGACAACATCTTTTTATTTTGTAGAATGGTTGAGAATTATTTCATTGGTAAAGCATAATTGTTTTGCTACAACCGTTAATCTTAGAAATAGGGAACATAGTTCTGAGTCTCATTTTGCCAGAATGAAATTGGATAATTACAAGAAAATAATTATTGCAGTCACATTTTTCTTAGCTCAGATCTCTTCAGTTATCATTAAAAAAAACTTATTTTCCGCAATTAGGTTATCTTCTAATTATTGGCCTAAAACTTTCACTGTCCTGAATAGACCAATCAATTCAAGTATGAGTTATTCAAGAGAAACTATTGGTTTAGAACATTTTGATAATGCAGCTAGAATATCCTGAATCGAAAAAAATGAAAATAAAATGAATTTCAGGATAAAATAAAAGGATAAAGAAAAAAATATCCCCACGATACAAAACAAAATCTGTTCATTTGGATGGTAAAAGGGTTTATTGAGCTTTTTCTTTTGATATTCCATCTCCTCCATTTGGAAGATTGCTTCTTTATCACAAGATATAAGTTAATTATGGCAAGTTTTTCCAATAACTGGAAAGTGAAAAAGAAATTGAGGAAAATAGATCTGGGCATATCTGTATCTGATAGTCTCTTCTAAAAAAAAAAATAACGCAGCATAATTCATAGGTTATGCTTGCAATCATCTCATAAACTGAAAGGAAGCAAACTCTTTTTTCAGCTTCTTTTTCTCTTGATGGGAGAGAACAGGATAATTTCTGTAAAATTATCCCCCAAAATATGAGCATCTACTAAAATGCCCACCCAAACAGTATACTTTCTTCCTACATATATTTCACCTGATGGTATTTCTTTAGAATGTTGTGCATCTCTGCAACATCTTCACTTGACACTGCCTTGATGACAAACCGCCGGTCATAGGTGGTAAGGAAGCGAACTCCACATCGCCCGTGGCTATCATTGTATACTGGAGCACTCCGGGTCACAGAATTCTGTGTGGAGATAAGAGAAGAACAAAATCCATACTTGGAAATGATGGTGAAGAGAAGAGCAGACTGACTGGGTATGTCACTGGGTATGGGTAAGTCACAATTGTATAAAACTAGGGACTGGGTATGTCACAATTGTATAAAACTAGACAGCCCATACCCTTTATTTCTGTGTCTCGGTTTAGACACAGAAAAACAAAAGGCAGACAAAAAAACAGAGAGAGTAGGAGCAACTTTCTACCAGATTCCCCACTGAGTTTGCTAATAGAATCTGGCAGGGATCATTGGACAGTTTACCTTCCATTTCCAGCAGGCTGCTGCTTAGTGGGAGAAGGAGTAAGGGATTGAGAGACTGGCTGGGAAACCCTTACATAACATCACATCTAGGCATGTGACTACAGTAGCAACCAGTAGCACTGAAGCAGCCACAATTTCCCCAAATTTCATTCCCTGCAGAGGCCTGGACACATTCTGTAAATTAGCTTATTTAAGGTTGCTTCAAAAACTATCTCCCTATGATGTATCATCTCACCTAATTAAAGAACAAGTCAATGAGAATGTAATACTATATAGATGACAACTAAGAGGTATGGGGAAGAAAAGTGCTAGGAACATTGATGGATAAGCTAGCATATAGATGATGCGGAGAAGGAAATCAAAGAGAGCAAGAGGAAGTTCTAGACCTTTCTCTATTCACATCTCAGGCCTGAGTGTTTTCGGTTGAAACCTGAAACAGGATGTTCCAGATTTTAATTTGGCCCACTCAAAATGGTTCTGCTAAACCTCTGTGCCACAAAGTCTTTGTTCTGGGCATAGAACGTTTCTTTACATCAGGGATCTCCAACTCCCCATAAGACTACCAGGTCTTATGTCATTTGGAACCAGGCTGTAGAAGTGATGGATGAGCATGCACACACCTCCATTTGCGCAAGTAGTAGGCAAACACATGCACGCGCAGCACTTCATTTGTGTAAGTGGCAGATGTGCGTGCTCACTGCTCATGCAAATGGAGCTGCATCAGCATACACACGCTTGCTCACCACACAGACGGAAACATCCTCTCTCCCTGCCACCGTTCCATAAAGCCAGAAAGGAGGGGTAACTCTGTTTTACATACAATATCTATTCTTTAGTATAAGTTTCTTCTGTCCTCTTTTTATCTTTCTTTACTCATACTTTCATCATCCTCTCCCCAAACCCATCTTTTTTTTCTATCTACCATTTTTTTCAGCCTGATATATTTCAAATATACAACCTGTTTTGAGGAAAATACAAATGCAATCAATTTAATAAATAATTCAGTCTGATACCAGCTATTGTTGCACAAGATTAGTTTCCAATTATAACAAAGCCAGGAATACTTTAATATCTGAATTATTCAGATAATTGACGTATCTCTTTTAATTTGTTCCCTACCTGATAGTCCTGATCATCAATCCCAAATCTTTCCCGCAGATTTCGGAATACCATTGGACAATACTCCTTAAATTTGAAGCGGCTTGGGAGATTCTCTCTGAAAGTAGCCACAAAGAATTGGTGATTCAATACTGAAAATAGATTAGAAAATTAGACCAGACCAGAATTCTTTATTGGCCAAGTGTGATCAGACACACAAGGAATTTATCTCTGGTGCATAAGCTCACAGTGTACATATAAACAGTAAGTAATAGATCATAGGTCATAATCATAGTTACAATCATTAATCATGTTATAAATAACAATTGATAAATTATAGGAAACCAACAGAAGATAATGGAAATATGAGAAGATGAAAAAAGATGAGAAATGAGACAGTGCTGTGGGAATTAAGTGTTCAGCAGAGTAATGACACAGGGGAAAAAACTATACATCTGGTTGTGCATGCAATGCTCTAAAGGGGAGAAATTGAAATAAATTATGTCCACAATGTCCAGGATATGAGGGGTCTGTAGATATTTTTTCAGTCTTCTTTCTGGTTCATGCAGTATACAGTATAACCTCTGGTCATGACCATAATTTGTTTCATAACTTTGATCGCAACCCGATTTGGTTGTGACCCTAACCAAATTTTAGAAATTTGGCGGTTACAAAAAAAAATGGCACGAAAGGGGAAATCGGCGGTGGGAAAAAACATTTTGTGAATTTTTTGGGTGGAACCTGATTTGGTTGTGGTCAGAGTACAGATCTTCAGTGGAAAGCAGGCTGGTTGGGATCATTTTTGTGCAGTTGATAACTATCCGTTGAAGTCTACGTTTGTTCTGTTTGGTTGTTGTGCAAAACCAGACACTAATAGAGGTACAAATGACAACCTCAATAATTCCTCTGTAAAACTGTATCGGCAGATTCTTGGCATCTGAGCTCTCTGATCTGATACAGGAAGAACATGCTTTGTTGTGCCTTTTTAATGACGTTTCTAATATTAGGTGTCCATTTCAAGTCCTTGGAGATATAGAACCTAGAAACTTGAAAGTCTCTACTGTTGATACTGTTGATATTAGCGTGTAAATGTAAATTTTAAATATACATACTAGATTATTATTTGTTAAATTTATTTGCTGCCTATCTCACCATTACTCTATTACAATAATAAAAGGAAATAAAAATTGAAAGTATAAATAGAACAGAAATAAAATAATAGACTAATAAAATAAACAAAGAAAAAGGAATGCAATGAGAATAATACATTAATATGGTAACCAAAAAGATGGATGAGTGGGGAGCAGAGAGCAAGGGTAGGAAGGATAGGTGGAGTTTGCTATCAATCTAGCAGTTACCTCCAGCCTAATCTCCACACCTCCAGTGGAACTATTGGTCCCCAGGCCAAAGGGACTATATCTTAGCACTGTATGTCTAGTTCTACATTCTTCATACATAACTATTTTTAAAAATGTGTATCTACAGTACATTATGTGATGATGAATTCAGACTTCACTACTACAATGTTCTCCCAGATATGCTGCAATTCTGATTGTGTTGTCTGGGAAATCTGGAACTGTAATGCAATATAGCAACTCAAAGACATTTGATGAAAATCAGGTTGGGTATGTGACTATTGGCTGCTTAATCAAAAACTGTGATTGACTTCTACTGATTACTTACGCTATAATGAAGTTATATTTGTTAATACTGACACTGCTAATACTGTGTAAATGTTAACAATACAGGCACCATCAGGCCTAAGAATAAAAAAAATCTAAAAGAATAAAAAGAAAGGCAAAATGATATATCTTCCACTATGGCATTAGAGAAAGATTAATCAGCTTTAATTAAAGCATATGAGTTGGTTAGTAGCAGTTGTAAAATTTCTGACCTCATATATTGATTGAAAAATCTAGGCAAAATTGTTCAAAGTAATTCATGTAGCATGAAAATAACTTTTTATCATTTCATGTCCTTTTCTTTAGGAGGTCAAGTAAATTATAGTTTTATTTCACCTTAAATTTAAGGTTTTTCTTTCAAATTACATTTGTCTTTTCATGATCAGTCCTAAAATTTTCCCTTCATTAGATAAACTTTTGACAATCTCTGACTATTAGTAGGAGGATTAGACTAAATCTACTCAATAAGTAATCATGGTGGATTAGCCATCTGGATGCATTTTGGAAGCTCACAAACTTAGATAGAAAAGCTATAGACCCTTTTTATAGTCACTTTCCACAAACCCGTTTAAGGCACACTGCCAATGTGGGAAATAATAAATAATCATAAATATTAGTAGACTCTGATCCTATGTGTATTTCTTCAATCTTTTTTTTTAATAGTTTGACTGACATTAACACATTCCAAATTATGCCCTTTGTGATTATAACTTTTGGATATGAAACTGTGAGATACAAACATCCCCTTTTTCACATAATCGCGGCATTTTACAACAGTATTTTTAAAAATTTTGAAGCTTTTTTTCAGTATTTCTGTACAAATTATATAAAATGTGATTACATCCTAAAACTAAAGAGTTAAACAAAACAAATAAATCAAAAACATTTTACATGTTCTCTAATTTATAGAGGTAGATGATTCAAACAGGGGTTGGATACGACAGGGTTAACTTTACGAGCTTCCCTACCCGCTGTGAGCCACTCGCCTGTTAATCGCTCGCCTGTTAATTGTCATTAGCACCCTAAGTGCTGAGAAGCAGCCTTTGAAACAGCCCTCTTTTTCTTCTTTTTAAACTGCAGCTGTGCCTCCTTTGGCAGCTGAAGTTGAAAAATCAGGAAATAAAGGTCAGGTAAGAGCCCGGGTGGGCAGGTGGGCAAAAACATCAGCATAGAACTGGTTCTATGCCTGCTGCTCTTCAGAGCTACCGGTTCTACAGAAGTAGACAGAACCAGTAGAAACCCACCCCTGGATCCAAAGCTACATACTTGTGTGTGGCAAAAGTATATGAACTTGTGCTTTCAATAGTTGGTGTGACCTCCTTGGACAGCAATAACTGCAACCAAATGTTTCTGATAACTGTTAACCAGTTTTGTATATTTGTTTGGAGGAAGTTTAGCCAATTTCTCTTTACAGATTAGCTTCAATTTAGGGATGATGGTGGGCTTTCTTGCATGGACTTGCCCATTCCAGGTCTTTCCACAACATTTCTACAGAATTAAGATCAGAACTTTGACTTGGTCATTCCAAAACAATAACTTCCTTCTACTTTAATTATTTTTTGGTTGAAATGCTTATATGTCCTGGGCTATTGTCTTACCGCATGACTCACTTTGTCTTGATAATCAGTTCATGAACATGGATACAGACATTTTCCAGAATTTTATGCTCTTGTTCCCCAGAGGCCCTATGGCAACAACCCATGGCAGCGGGAAGATCTGCCTCAAGACAGAGGGTGCTAAGAAACATCAGATTAAAGCAAGCTGTTTCTGGACTTTGGATGCAGGAATGGCCAATATTAGAACAATGAAAACGGATGCTCGACTGGAACTGTTGACTGAACTCAACCATATGCATTGGGATATCATTGGATTATGTGAAACATGACAAAAATTCCAAACTTTAGTTGAACTTGATAGGATTGGGCTTTACCTACACTAGAGATTCTGTTATGGACAAGGTGGCAAAGTTGGGTTTTTTCATCAACTAAAAGCTGAAAGACTATACTAAAATTTGAAAGTATACCAGACAGAGTAGCCCAACACGTCATTCAATTGAACAAACAATACAAGCTTCAAATCACCCAATCTTACATGCAAACAATAAGCTATTGTGATGATGAGGTTGAAGAGTGTTACAACAATGTGGCCTAGCTTCAAAACAAAGAAAAATGCCAATACGAAATATGAACTGGTGATTTTAATGCAAAAATAGGAAGAAAAATACCTGGAAAAAAAGTGACTGGCCCATATGGAAGTGGTGAATGAGATAATAGAAGCAACAGATTTTGCTAAAGGATAGGAACTTTATATCATGAACTCATTTTATGAGAAAAAAGTTAGCAGAAATTGGACATGGAAGAGTCCATCTGGGTACAAAAGCAAAGTTGACTACATCATGGCTAGTGATAAAATCATATTCTGCAACTGTACTATCATCAATTGTTTTAATGTTGGAAGTGACTTTAGAATGATACAAACTAAAGTGAAGATAAGCATGTGGAAAAGACCATATAAAAATAATAAACACACCATGAAAAACAAAAATGAGTGATAATTTGTTAATGCCATAAAATGTTTAAAATAAAATAAAATCCTCCTTTCAGTCATCTGCAAGGCTTTCACCAAAATAATAGCAAAAGGAATATTGAGAACATTAAATGATGCACAGCCAAATGAGCAGGCAGGGTTCAAAGTGTCCACAGCACAATGGATCACATCCAGGTTGTTCAGCAAGTCACTGAAAGGCACAATGAGTATACCATGTCATTATGCATGGCTTTCATTGACTACGAAAAGGTGTTTGATTCAGTATTCCAGAAAGCAATAATTAATGCATTGGTCGGTCAAGGTACAGACATTATTTACATAAACCTACTACAATCAATATATGAAAAAACAATGGTGACAATTTGCCTTAATGATCTTAAAAATACATGCTCAGCAATACAAGACAAGATAGAAAGATCTGCAATGGATTGGACAACAAAGGAAAGCATACAATATTATCAAGAGAGTGAAAAAATCAAAATGGAAATGGGCTGGTCACATAATAAGAAAAAACTGATTGCAGTAGACAAAGGCAATCATAGAATGGATCCCACTTGATAAAAAGCTTCCACAAAAGAGACCTAAAACAAGATGGATTGATAACATCAGTATGTATTACAAGACCAATTGGCAAAAGGAAGCTCAGAGTCATATTGGTTGGAAACATGCAGAACAGGCCTTCTTTATTTAGCTTACCACCACCACCACCACCACCACCATCATCATCATGATTATCTTAGCCATTGTGTATCCACTTCACGAAGAATGCCTCTTCCGTATGTTTCCAATCAATATGACTCTGAGCTTCCTTTTGCCAATTGGGCACACAATACTTGCTGATGTTGTCAATTCATGATGATGATGATAATAGGCTAAATAAAGAAGGAAAGTTCTCTTTATATCTACAAAACATTCTTGATCCATTAAAAATTGTTGTCCAAACTATACATATTATTAAAATTATACTAGTGGCATTAATGGAAAAACATTAAGAATCATCTAATTATTAAAAGTTGATCTAGGTTGCCTGACAATTGTAATCTCACCAAAGGTTAACATGGTTGCTCGAGATTAAGTCTCCTTCAAAGCATATTGGGGATGAGTCAATGATGCCACCTTGACCCCTAGTGCGTATACTTTAATCCTTCCCTGAAGTCAAGTTGGCTGCCAAGGACCAGCATCAACAAGTATCTATCAAGCTCAGCTCTCCCAACCTAACATTTCTAACATTGGAGTCAGTTTGCTTTCTATTCTATATTCAAATCTCAAGGTTTGTTGGGATGTAAAATCTCATTTAATATTTCTAAACTGCTTTTCCAACAAGCATTTTAAAATAAAAAAGTGGATTAGGACATAGATATATAAGTAAAAAAATAAATAAATTCCAAAAGGCATCAGAAAAACAGCAGTAGAAAACAAATGTCCAACAAATTATCAGCTAGCTTTAAAAACCACAATGAATAGTTAATATGGCTTCTAAAGTATTCAGAGATATGCATCGGAAACGTTAATGACTTGTAACCTATTATTTCTTTGATTTCTACTACACTGTATCAAACATGACACACATAATAGATCTAAAGAATAGGGAGGCATAAGAAGAAATAGATACCCCTTAAATATGCTGGTCCGTCAAAATACAGTAATACTTGAGTAGTCAACACATTTAGTACAGAAGGGATTTTACTCTCTGTGTCCTGGTTTTATCAGAAAATGAATTGTGGCCTTCCAATCAAATCCATTCACGGCTGGACATAGAGCACATTCAGACAAATGAATTGTGCTGAATTCTTTTATAATAGTTGTGTTTCTTTCATGTTACATTGTCTTCTGTAACATTCTGATTTGTGTCATTATATATTCATAACAAGCCATTTATTCAGATACTGAAGTTAAATGGGGAAAGGGGAAGTATATTTTAATCAAAAAATATGTATTACTCACTTATTGAAAAGATGATTGTCCACTTTAATCTTGCTGTAGGCTTTAAAGTCATCTGGCATTAACATAACAGGGACAGGGACATTACTCAACTCATTAATCTGCAAAAGAAATGCAACATCTAAACAGGATGTGAGGGAAAAAAGAAAGGAAGTCACCTGAATTGTTGGAATGTACAATGGTAGAGCCAATAAATCCCATTAATGTTTATTGGCAGTTTCAACATTAAATGAATATGATGAAGAAAGTATAGTTATATTCTATGAAAGGGGTGATATTTATTGAAAAAAGAAATCATAGGTATCTGAGTGTTTTAGGTTACGTCATCTACATCATCATCATGAGCAGTTGCTATCTCTAGTTTGTATAATTTATATGGCACTGTAACGTTTCTCTTCCTCTTTCTCAATTTTTATACAGATAATTATGTCTATATTAATAATTTCAGGTCTGTCCTAATCACTCATACTTTTAATTAATCATCCAATTGTATTTTGATGCTAAGATGTGCTTGAAAGTATGGTAATCACCTGTTAAAATGTTATTTTTCTTATTAGTTTGTTTTTTCTCAACTTCATGTGCTACACTATATATAAATTTGTATTTGGCCAATAATTTTCCATCAGATAAAATCATCCAGTTCTAAACAAGATGATAGATGTTAAATATATTCAACTCTGATTATCAAAGCATTTTTATTCAATAGTATTTATTGCTACTGCAATAACAATACACTTTCCACCCGTAATGTAGCATATAAACAAACACCTAAATAAAGTGACTTGGAGATGACACTTTGTTCGTATAAATAATACTCACCAAACATTCACAAATATTCATATTCATTGCAAATATTTGCCAGTAACTTCTAAATAATTAAACCTATTGAAATTGCATTGCATGAACCAAATTTAGGCATCTACAGATTTTTTTTTCTTCCTTGTTTTCTCTAAAGTAGGACCCACTTTTTCAGATCAAGTCAATATTGATCCATTAAGAATAGACTGACTGGTTTGTTTCCCGATCCAGTCATTGTGGGCTGAAAGAGAAGCCAGCTTTCATGTCTAAGACAGGATTAGAATTCAGTCTCCTGTTTCTGGATGTTGCCTTAACAACTAGACCAGTGGTGGCTAACCTTTTTGGGCTCCTGTGCCAAAAACTGTGTGCGATTAGCATGTGCTCACTCACATGCCAGCACCCAGAACGCAATCCCCCCATGCCCCCTACGCAGGCATGTGTAATCCCCCACCACCACCATCACCCCCTTACCTGCACTGTGGCTCACAGTTGATTTTTTGGCTAGTTTGAGGCCTTTTTCAGCCTCCCAGAAGCTTGGAAAAAGCCTCTGCCAGGCTTTTCAGGCCAAATAATATGCTGGTTTCAACACTTCTGATATTACAGGAAGTGATGAAATGGGCCTATTTGGTCTGAAAAGCCTTGCAGAGGCTTTTTCCAAGATTCTGGGAGGCCGAAAAAGGCCTGAAACCAGCTGAAAAATCAGCTGTGAGGCACGCGCATGCACAGTGAGTTAAGTTTGCCCGCGGCTCGCGTGCTGGCACAAATGGCTCTGCATGCCACTTGTGGCACACGTGCTATAGGTTCGCCATCATGGCACTAGATCATATTCCCTCTCAGTTAAGCACCTACAAATAAATCTTGCTTAATTTCTATTCTTTAGCAACAATGGTGCCAAATAAAGAGACTTATTCCTAGTCCTCAATGTTCTGTCTGTTGCAACTCTGTCACAGGAACAAAATTTGGGCCCACTTGAATCCATCTTAATTTACAACTGCTCATTTACCCACTGCTGCTAGCTGGTCCTACCTGCTACTATGCCCACCAAAGGAGCCTGTGGCACAGTGGTTAGAGTGCAGTACTGCAAGCTTCTTCTGCTGCAGCCAGCTGCCTACAATTTGTCAGTTCAAATACCACCAGGCTCAAGGTTGACTCAGCCTTCCATCCTTCTGAGGTGGGTAAGATGAGGACCCAAATTGTTGGGGGCAATATGCTGACTCTGCAAAATGTTTAGAGAGGGCTGTAAAGCACTATAAAGCGGTATATAAGTCTAAGTGCTGTTGCTATTACATCATAAGCCACTACTGCACAGAACCTCGTTTTGCATCAGTGTAGCTGAGATTTCTCTCATGTCCAACCCAAAGCCTTTTGAAAAAGATGTTTGGCATATAAACAAAAGCCCCATCATAAAAGAACCTTTCTAGCCAAATCTTTCACATGCCAGGCTTCTTTCTTGAAAGAAAGTCCCAGGTGGGGCAACTGGGGCATGAATGAGGCCCAGGCTGGCATGTAAATAGAAATGCTGGCTGGGGGTGCAAGAGAAGTCTAGGCTGCACTGGCCCAAAAGAAGGAAATGCAAAAAAAGGTCCCAGCTAGTACTGTAGTGATGTACGATGTACGGATAAGGACTAAGCTAGTGGGTAGCCAAAAGGGGAAGACTGGGGAGAAGACGGGCAAATAAGGGGAGTTCGAGTGTCAGAGGAGGCAGTTCCTTATGTTACCAAAGCATGGAGAGGAGAGGGACAAAGTTGGGAGTGACTTGGATCAGAATGTGTGTCCTCACCAAATGACCCGTGAAATTCAGTTAATGACAAAAATCAGTGCTTGTCAGTGCTAAGCAATGTAGTCATGTGATGTTACACGTCATGACTGCATCCCTTAACAACAAAAATTTGACTTGCAATTACCATTGTTAACCGTAGACTATTTGTGTAATCTTCCAGATGTTGCTGAATGAATATTCCCAGCAAACTCAGGAAACATGATTGATTATAAAAAAAAAACACTAGGATTTGTAGTCCATCAACATCAAAATTTTCCATTCAGATATGTACATACACAGGGCTTGTAAGACTGATATAAAAAAATATCTCCACTTGTCATGACTGATACTTTTGAAAGAAATATTCTCAATTTCTTTGGGACCATCTTACTAACTAAAGTTTGTAAAGTTTGCCGGTGAATATTTTTTAGTAACCTTCCTCTAAACTGCCTCTTTTCAGATATTCTGGGGCTACTAGTTGACAATGCTCACTAGGATTTCTAAGATGTATACAGTTCTGTCCCTGGACTCTAGAATGGCAAGACCCTTTTATTACTTTGTACAACTGAGACAATCCTCAAATATATTCAGACAGATTCCAACAAAATGATTTATCATAATATTTATAGACATTTCAGAATTATATAGTATTATTTTGGATATTGAAAAAAATGATCATCTGTTATCTCTTCTTAACTCAGAGGAGTTACATTCCTGCTTTATGAAGATCATTATCCAGGCAAGCAGAAAATCAAAACTCATCCTTGGTAAAGAATAAGCAAGGAGGGATTTACTGAACCTGGAATGACAACATAGGTTACAAAAACCAGAATCTGCTGTTGAGGATTTGAAGCTACAATCCTATATACAGTGCAGTGTTCCTAAACTCAAGAGTTGACTTCAGAATAAACATAATCTCCTGGTTTGTTCTAAAAACTAAAACTGTGCAGCAATCCTGATTTTGAAGGAAAAAGGTGATTCAACAAAAATGTTGTTCCTTCTTAAATCAAGTTCAGGAAAAGCACAGCTTTTTAAAGAATACGTACCATACAATACATACCCACCCACTTGCTCCAGTTCCACCAAATTCCCTTTCACATGTGTGAGAAGAAAGATTATAGTAAAGAACCACTATCTCCTGTAGAGGAAGATTTTGAAATTCATTCAACACAGAATTGCTTCCTCTTTGTAATTATTTTAGAAATGTTTACCTGCTTTCCATTTTAAAATGCCTTTCGCTACAATTTTCCAATGTTTGTTTTCATGCAAGATATGAATTCTAATATATAGATACCAAAATAAAGATGTTTACCGTGTGCCTAATAATCAACACGAGATGCTATATAATAGTTGTAAGAAGAGACAAATATTCAATGGCAGAATGTGCCTCTCTAGTCTGAGAGGTCTTAAGTTCAAAGAGGTGGGAAGTGCACTGTGGGAAGTAGTTCTTGCTCACCGTGTGGTTGACTCCCCACATAAGGACACTCAGGAGCGGTTCAGAGGCTCGAAAGAGTTTCACTTTCTGGCAAACGAAATGCTTCTTCTTTGTCTTGGTCTTGGAAGCACTGAGGGCAGCACCTATAGCTGAGCTGGCGCTTGCAGCTGCTGTGCCTCCGGTACAGTTTGAAGCCATGGCAGAGAGTGTGTCCCTGGGGCTGCTAGAACAAATATTGGCCTCCTCCTAAAAGCAGAGTTTTTTCATGCCTCTCCTTGGGCCCCTCCAACCTGGGCAGTCATGTCAAAATGCTCTCCAAGAAAAGGCCCAGATTTCTGCTCCTTCAGTACTCAAGGCACTCTCCCCTCCTCACTCTTTGTGGATAGGACTTGTGCCAGCTCAAAATGGCACCAATGGGTACCTAGGCTGGTTAGATTTGACACCTCCTTGCAAGGTACCACTAGAACCAACCTCTCATTGGTACCACCACTGATGCCACCTTTTAAAACTTGAAGTGGTGCTTCTTCTTGCCTTTTTCCCGACCTTCAGATTACAGTGGGCCGTTAAAGGCACCGCTTCTATTCTTCTCCGCTCAACCGCAGTTGAATGTCATCCGAATCCGAGGTACTTCTTTAATTCTCCCTATAAATCCCCCAAAATGGTACCATCCAGCCCTCCCGTTTCCACCTAGATCAGTCCCAGTGCAATTAAGTCAGCCGTATCCCTCTGCCCTCCGCCCCCAATAAAAACCGTCCACAACAGTACCACCTTTGCTCCACCCTTCGTTCTTCTGTTCTTTTCCCTCCACCTAATTCAGCGGAATCACCCAAATAGATAGGAGATACACACAGGTGCACATGCACACGCACCAATCACAACAGTACCACCCACAGGCACACACCCTTCCCCTCGTTACAAGCAAGAGTTCCGTTCAGAGAACCGGGCACCACACCATAACTCTCCTTTCACATCATAGTTAGATCCAAGCCCCACCCCCTGTCAGTTTTCGAATAGTAATGTCTGCCTCCCTCCCCAAGTGAGCCTAACTTTAACCCCCTTTTATAACATAGTTCGATTAGTTTCATCCGCTATGAATATATCGCCCCACCCCAACTTCCCCCCCATGCTTCCCTTTCCGTGGTTTGCTCCACCGCAGAACAAGTTGTGCCATCGACTTCTGCGCAAAGGAGGCGTCAAGATGGCGACGAATAAAGGGAGGGGCGAGAGGAATGTTCCATTTCTATTTGAGAAATTGAAGGAGGAAAGTACTGTAGTAATAGTTCATTTAAAAAGAATCAAGGAATTGTGACAAAGTAAAGTGGTTTGGATTAATATGTCAAAATAACGCGCAGTTAGCAAATCCACTTTTTCTTTAATTGCCTTTCTTGAAAAGATAGTTTGTCCCGAAGAGAGTGATGTATTAAATAGGTTGGTATTTCTCCGTTTTACGGACCAAATAACCAATCAACAACGGAGCACCTAGAGTTATGAATGGGAAATTATGACTATATGTCACAGAAGAGTTCTGCTTTAAAGACCGCGCCTCTTCTGGTAGGAGTAGCGGTTGCTAAAAGAATAAGTGAAAAAAATTCTGGTTTTCTGCAGAACATTCATCTAGTAGTTTAATTGCTGGTCACTTTCTTCCGTTTTGTGCTGTCCTAGCAAAGCTTTGGTTTTCCATCCATTTAATCTGTCAACCAACTGTTTTTCCTTATTTTCTGCAATTGTCTCTGTTGTTTTTATAATGTTCTCTGTTTTCACAGCCTGCAGCAGTTTTTTTATACTTTGATTCAGATAGTCATTCAAACTTCATTTTTACTTCTTTACAGTTTGATGGATTTGCAATAGCCCTCTGCCCCCTACTCTTCGTGGATGTAAAGTGTGGTACATATTCAAAAATTTGTATGTTTTCTGCTCCACGTTTTCCAGTTTGGCCACAGTCCAGTTGATGATTCCAGCTGGGTAGCATATCACTGGAACTGCCCATGTATTACTGGCTTTAATTAGGTTTCCAGCGTTCAATTTTAATTTTAATTTTTTGCAGACTCTCCTGATGTATTCCTTTTGCATTGACTCTTTGACTTTTCCATTCAAAATTTTATATGCTTCCAATATGCCTAGGTATTGTAACCTTCATCATTTGCTAATGCTTTCACTATGCTTCCATTTCCCAGTTCTACTCCTATTTTTTCCTCGCTGCATGGATAATATAGGACATTCTTCAAGTCCAAAGTTAATTCTGATGTCACTACTGAACAATTGAACTGTGATGAATATTGATTCAAGTTCAGTGGGGCTGTTTGGGGGATAATGTTAGATTCCTCACCAAATAATGTTGACATTGCACCAATAAAATATTAGACTTGGTGTGTGTGACCACTGTTTCAAATTGGACCTGTGACAATCTGGAATAGATGCATAGCCATCATGGAGGTCATGAATTCTTGAACTGCTTCTGAAGCTGAACACAAGGAAGGCAGATTGAAGTCATGCAAAATCAGAAGTCTGGAGAATTCCACTGCTAATCCAGAGATGGACTCTTTAACAGCTTAGGCAAGGAAGTTACTATACAACAGGGAGGTCGGTACAACAGCAACAAGCTCAGCTGATTCTGGGGTCTGACAATTCCCTATGGCCAACTGCCACAGCCAACTCACTACAGCCAACTTGCGGTGGCCAACTTGCCATGGGAAAGCTCACTTCAGGGCAAGAGTTGCACTAATATCAAAGAAATGGTGGAATAGAATCATTAAAGGTTGTAAAAAGAGGGACAAAATGAAATGTGAATGACAAAAATTAATTTTTTATTTTTTTTAAATAATTGAATTGTTAAATTGTCCAGCAATGAGTTATCCTTTGGCAAGTTGTCTCATGGCAAGTTGGCTGTGATGAGTTGGCCATGAGTTGACTGTGGTGAGTTGGCTGCAGCGAATTGGCTGTGGTGAGTTGTCCCATTCTGCTGATCTCGTGAGTTCAGTATCAAAACAGGGTCTTGAAGCAGAAACATGGGGAGCAAGGTCCTTGGAGAGCCTTCTAATGCTGGGAAGAATATAAGGAAAGAGAAGGGGAAGCAACTGAAGATGAAATATGAAGTGATGAGACTACTGTGAGACAGTCCATAGATATATCTGACCAGATATAGTAAAGACATAATCATAAATAGAATGGCCCGTGTTACACCACTGCTTCATGAGCTGCACAGATGCTCATTTTCTTCTGGGTGCAGTTCAAGGTGTTAGAGAAGACACTCTACTTGTGTTGGTAGAGGAAGCCTGCTGAAGATCCTGTCAGTCAATTCCCAATTGAAAAGATTCAGAAGAGCCTACTCTGCTGTAGTGCTGGCCCTCTGTAACATCCTGACCCCAGATAAGGTTACCTTCTCCTCCTATCCTTCCACAAGGGCCTGAAGACATGGATTTGCTAGTTGGCTAGGGAACCAGTAGAGGAATTTGTCACTGGAGGTGGTTGCTGGACTAACTAGCTGACTCACTTCCCCCCTGCACTTCCTTCTGTTCCTGTGTTCATTTTTTCATATTGTATTTTCACTGTTTATTTTTATGGATTCATTACTTTACTATTGTCGTTTTTACATTTTTAAAAACCATTTTCTACCTTATTTTTGCAAGCCACACAGAGTAGCTCTATTGCAAAATGTACAAATACTTTTAACAAACAAAGCCATGCCAAGGCATTTTTCTCTCTGATTGTATCTGCATGGAGCTATCCAAATCTTGTACAAGCAAGTGTCCCACCCAATCTCCACCAATCAGCCTGGCACCCATATATTTCCTGAGTTTTATTATGAACAAACAAGATTATTCAGTTTCTTGTTAGGCTTCATGTCATCATTTAGGAGCAGTTATTTAAGATGTGTACTATCTAATTCAGTAGAATCAGTTTCATGGCTTGTCTCCTGCTGTCTGATTATGACTTATTTTCATTAGACCCCTATCTAGTTTAGCTTTGAAAGTCACAAAGAATTCAATCATTCCAGTTGTCATTCAGACCACTATTTCTCTTTTACAGATAAATTGCCCTATAAGAAAGAGGCTATTGATTAAAAAGCCTTTACTATAGTCATATGATTTTAACACCTACATGGCAGTAACCAATATTTTGTTCAAAGTGAAGCTAATAGTTAACAGTTGAAAACAGTACAGCTCCAAGAGCTTTTAATGAAATGGATCATCTTGATCTTTTCCCAGATTTGCCTTGGCTATTCTGTTGAATGATTTGTAGTGAGACGGGAAGCATTACTCTTGTATTACTGCTATATTTCTTTGTAGATTTTGATGCCATTGAGAACATTAGACTATTTGAGAAACTAGGGACATGGAGACATGCCTATGTTGTTTCCATTATTTTGGGGGACACAGATAGACAGCAACATTGTAATTTTTGTTTGACCACTTTGAAATGGTCATGAATGGAGATTACACGAGGTTCCATTTTCTCATCCGTGTTAATGTCTGCATGAATCCATTGTGAAGAATCATTTGTAATTTGGAGTTAAATTGCCAGCAGTTAACAGGTCATCCTCACTTAGCGGCTGTCTTATTTAGTGACCATTCAAAGTTATGATAAGTGCTGAAAAAGTAATTTTAAGACCAGTTCACACACTTATAAATGATGCTGCATTCCACAGTCACGATTGCCATTTATGCACTTTACAGCTGGCTTCTGACAAGCAAATCAATGCAGAAGTCAGCATTAAAATTGTGAATCCATTCACGTGACTAGCAGGGACTTGCACTTGTGTGCAAAGCTTCGCATGAGTGGAGGGCATTTGTGCTTGTGTGTGAAGCTATGCATGAGGGGAGCTTTGCACAAGTGCAAGTGCCTGCTGCTTGCATGAATGGAACTTCGTGCCTGAGCGCAAGCACCCTCCACTCAAGCGCCCTCTGCTCATGCAAGTGGAGCTTCATGTGCACACACTTGCTCATTTCTCCTGTGGCCTGGTTTTTAACAGGCTGCAGCCTAGTAGTGGGCTAAAACCCAGGGGTTGAGGACTGCAATACCAGATGAACAATAACACATGACATATTACACCATATTATTTATTTTAGAAAGACTAAATGGAGAAGCCGTGTATAAAAATGAAGTACACCGTAGGATTTCCATAGATATGAAGTGGTTAAGTAGCAATCAGGTACTGCTAATCAAGTACCCTTGATCAATTGATCATTAGCAAGCATGACTTCCTCTATAAAATCCGAAGTTTTAGGAGTTTGATCCTCAGAATTGAGGTGTGTGTTAAAACAATGCCAAATAAAGACATTAGCAGTGATCCTAGAGGAGCAATTGTTGCCCATCAGTCTGGGATCGGTTATAATGCCATTTGCAAACAATTTAAAGTCTCTCTTCCTCTAATGAGGAAGATTATTCACAAGTAGAAAACAGGACAGCTGTTAATTGTCCCAGGAATAAATGCCCCAGCAAATTTATCCCAAGATTAGACATATCCAATGCTTGGAGAAATTGCAAAAAGTCCAAGAGTTACATCTCAAACTCTACAAGCCTCAGTTATCATGTTAAATGTTAACGTTCATGATGCAGTACAATTAGAAAGACTAAACAATTATGGTTTGTTTGGAAGGTGCCAGAGAAAGTCTCTTCTTGCTAAAAGGAGCATGGCAGCATGGCTTAGGTTGCATCTGAACAAATCACAAGACCTTTGGAATACTGTCCTTTGGACAGATGAGCCCACAGTAGAAATGTTTGGTCGTGCTACACAGTACCATGTTTGGTGTAAAGCAAATGGTAGTATCAGCACAAACATCTCATACTGTCATTTGGATTTATTTTGCAGCCACAACCATGACTCAGCCATGAATGAGTCAACCATGAATTTCCATGAATGTATACCAAAATATTCCAGAGTCAAATTGGAGGCCATCTGGCCAACGGCTTAAACACGGCCAACACTGGAACATTCAACAGGACAACGATTAGGACATTAGGAAATTATCACAAAATGGCTGAAAAGGAAAAGAAGCAAGTCCAGATCTCAATCTTATTAAATGCTATGGTGAGATTTAAAACAAGCTGTGCATAAACATACACTCACACACCTCAATGAACTGAGGTCATATAAAGAAGAGTGGGCCAAAATTCCTCCACAACAATGTGAGAAACTGATAAAGTGATACAAAAAGTTATTACTTCAA